GACTCTACTGTAATGCTTTTACTTGCATTTGGTAACAGTAATTTTGTGGGCAAGGATAGCCGTTGCTTGCAACATCCCACTTCCTGTTTCACTATGGTAGAGCCAGTTGGGGAAGAGGCCTGTTTACACCACTTAAACCCTAGCCCCAAAGCTGACTTCCTGGAGGTTCATTGCATCAGCTACCCCTTGCTGTTCCTTTACCCTCGTGAATAGGCCCTTTGCTTGCCCCAAATAACGGTTCCTGCTGAATGAGCTTGCCTCATCAACTCTTCTGTGACAAGCAAGGAGGAGGTAGGCTACGTTTTTGGTTTCTGTGGTCAGGTTAAATTCCTTTTCTGCTGATCTTTAAAGCTGATGGAAGCACTTGGGTTGTATTTATGACTGTTCTTTGTTTCCTCTTTCCTTAACAGGCTATAGTTAGAAGGCTGCATTTTCCAGGTGCCTATCAATGGTCTCTGTAGACTTTATAATAGGGTTTCCCAAACAGTGAGGTGTAGACAGAGTCCAGGGAAAGTCTGAAGAACCTTTTAATACATTGTTATCATAAATCTACCTTTCCCAAAATTTCATTGTATTGCTTTCATTGTTCATTTGTGTTCATTTTGGTGTTTGGAGTTTTAGGGGAGGTGTATATAAATTAAGATTACACTAAAGGGAGGGGTGATGGCAAAAGGTTTTGGAACCCTTCCTTTATAAATATCGATTTGACATACAATCTTTCTTTGTACTTCACGTACGTGGTGTCAACAGAGGCAGCAGCTCCAGAGAGCAGTTATGAAAAGTTGTATGAGGGCCAATTCCATTCTAATGTGTTGTTATTAGGGCCATCAGACCTGAGCTGCAAAAATCTGGATGGTAGCAAATTAGATCTTGGCTTTCATTTAATGATCATCCAGATTTTTGCAACCTAGATCTAGTGGTTCTATTATTATCACAGTGTTCATGAGGAAAGGGGGCATAAACTTGGATATATACCACAGGCTCTACAATGGATAACAGATATCAACATGTTCCTGGCAAAAGACTAAAACTGATGCTTTACTGTTTTTTTTAGCGAGAGACCCTATCATAGCTATTGTAGGAGTAATGGTTAAAATCTCTTCGGTGGAACTGCTTTGATAGATTTTTCTTTTCAAAAGCAAACAATTGACACAGCAGGTCCCAAACTTTAAATTGGGATGCAAAGGAATCCCATGGTTTCTTGTGGTTTGAACAGACTCTTATCAAGACATTGCACAACAGCATTACTTTCTGTGGTGCTTGGGAGTTGAGTGCACCGTGTTATGGTGACTGTCCTCCTTTCTCAGTGGCCAGATCTGGTCAGTATTGGCAGGGGGGAAGAGATCACACCCTTGGCCATTCATCTGTGGGGTGCCTCAGGTCTCTCCCCTCCTGTTCAACATTTACATGAAACTCTTGCAGGAGGTCATCAATCAGTTCACAATCTGGTATCAAACCATGGATTGTACCCATTTGTACATCTCAACCTGAGCCGGTCAGGTGATGCCATCAGTGTCCTGTCCAGTGTTTGGAGGCTGGGTGGGTCTGGGTGGGGAGGAACATACTTAGGCTCAGTTCCGACAAGGTGGAGTGGCTGTGGCTTCTTGCCTCCACACCAGATCTGGTACTTTCCATCCTTAGTCTTCAGTAGGGTGCATTTCCCCATTCAGGACTGTGTACAATCTGAGGGTCATCTTGGACTCACAGTAGCAGATCTAGCCAAGAGGGCCTTTGGGGCTTCATGGGGTAATAGTGCCTCTTCCTAGATTAGGAGGCTTTCCAGATTATCATTGATTCCCTAGTCGCCTCATGGTTGGACTGTTGCAATGTACTCTACATGGGGCTGTCTTTGAAGACTACTTGGAAACTACAGTGGTCTTGAATTCTGGGCAGTATTGGACATGCCTTGGTATGCCCATGTGACACTACTGCTCCACAAACTGTCCTGGTTGTCAGTTAACCTCTGGGTGCAATCTAAGGTCCTGGTTATTACCTATAAAGCTCTTCATGGCATAAGGCCAGGTTATCTGGGGACCACCTATCTCCCATGGTTTCTGCCCATCCAGTAACACTGGGCAGAATTGGTGGAGTTTGAGTACCCTTGATTAAGCAATGCTATTTTTATTTTATTTTATTATTTATTTATTTATATTTCAAATTTGTCACTTATCGGGACCCAGGAAACATACCTTCTCTGTCACAGCACCTGCCCTCTGGAATGATACCCATGTAGCTCCCACTCTAGTGATGTTCTGGACATTTTTAATGCTTGGCTATTGGCCCAGATCTTGGGTAGGTTGGTTGGGAAACCCTGTTTGTTTTCTGTTGCAGGGAGTGTGTTTGTCTGGATACATGGGATTTCCTTTATGCTGTTTTATTTTTATTACTTCCTATTTTAGTGCAAGCCACCCAGAGTCGTTTGGTGTGGTTTTTTTTTACAGTAATTTTATTAAAGATTATAATTACAACAATAAAAATTAATACAAACCAAAAAAAGAAAGAGTAGAAAGTGCAAAAAAGAAAGAAAAAAGGAAGAAAGAGAAAGAGAAAAAAAGAAAGAATATAGTAAAGAAACAAATATATTAAGAAGTGACTTCCCACCTTTATCACAAGTATAAACAATTTTAGTAACTTATCACCTCCTCTTAAAATACAACAAATTATCTCTTCCTCCCATATATCATCTCTTATCTATATACAAATCCATAAACCATGGTCATTTCAGTCCTGGTGTCAGCAAAAGGCCATTAAGGGTTACAGGAGATAACAACAGATCTGTTTTAACCTTGATCAAATAAACCAACTTTATATTCCTCCTTTTACTTCTAACTATCTTAATCTTTAGTCCACTCAAATACCGTCCTAGAACTTGCTTTCTTTTCATTTTTTCTTTGCCCCTTCTCATGAGATTCTTCAAAATTTCAACAAGGCTCTTTTGTAAATCCAATACAGGAAAATTATTGAGGTCACTGTCTTGGTTTAATTGTATATCCCTTTTAATTATTAAACATCAGCCAGTTTCTTTTGTGTGTCCAGTGTAGCATCTTTTTCCATGTCATTCTTGTAGCCTGTCATTTGTAAATCCACTTTCAGATCAGTCTCGGTCTTGTCAGATAATACTTGTTCCTCTTTCATAACATATTTAGATGCAGTCTCTCCATAGAGGCAGATGTCTCTGTTGACACTATTAAAATTAATTTCTGTGTCCATTTTTCGAAAATATCCTTCAGTATGCTCAATGTTAGAATATTCTGCTTCATTCTATAATTGTAAGTCGAGTCTGTGTTCTGCTCCTTTAATTGCAATCTTTAGTTCCCTCTAGCGTCCAATTTTTAAAATCTTATTTAAAAAAAAAAATCAAAACAAAATCATTTTCCCATGGGAAGGATTCTTTATAATTAATTTCAGAATCTCTTTTCAATTTTATCTAGACCCTTAGTCCATTTGTAACTTTTTAAAATCAAAGTTTTAATCACCCATTTGCTGTTTATTCCAAAAAAAAATTTTTTTTAAGTTCTTAAGCTTATAGTTAAAGCTTCCTTTTGCTAAAGATTGAAGGAAACTCACCTGGTGCTGTCAAACTTGTTGATTCAAAGTTCCTAACAGTTGAAAAGCAGATAACAAGCAATTTCCAAAACCGGTTAGAAAAGGAAGTATGCAAGCTTAGTATCCTTTCTGTGATGGAATGGAATTATGAAGGCCAAACTCAGGGAGGGAAAG